CCTGTGAACAACCCTGTGCAACTTTTTGAATGAACATAAGTTTTTGTTCCTCTAGATAACCAAGAGCTAATGTCCAGGAGTGCAATTGCTGGGTAAGGGTTTGTTTAGTTTTTTAGGAAACTACCAAACTATGTTTGAGGGGCTGTACCTTTGTACATCCTACCAGCAATGTATGATTGACCTAGCCTTTCCATATCCTGACCAGCATTTGGTATTGTCACAGTTTTTTATTTTAGCATTATAATAGGTATATAGTGATAACTCATCATAGTCTTAATTCCATTTTCCTAATGGCTAATGATGTTGAACACTTTCTCATTTGCTATCTATATCCTTTTCAGTGAAATGTCTCTTCATGTCTTAAGCCCATTTTCTAATTGGATCCTTTGGATTTTTATTACTGGGTTTTGAGAGTTCTTTAGATTTTTAAATATGAGTCCTTCATATTTAAAATGTAGATATGTAGTTTGCAAATATTTTCTCCCACTTGGTGGTTTGTTCTTTTCATCCTTTTAACGGGTCTTTCACAAAGAAAAGTTTTAATTTTGATGAAGTCCAATGTATCAGGGTTTTTTTTTCCTTTATGATAATTCTTTGCTGTCATATCTAAGTAGCCTTCATCAAGCCATAGGTATTAAAGATTTTCTTCTAGTTATCTTCTAAAAGTGTTAGAGTTTTATGTTTTACATTTAAATCTAGGACCTACTTTGAATTAACTTTCGTAAAGGTCATAAGATTTAGGTGCCTAAAGGCCCCAGGTGTAGTAGTGATTTCATAGTTTACCCTGTATCTAACTGATGACAGCAAATAAAAAGTAGTTGCTAAGTAACTAACACTAAATGTAACTGACTTTATTTTTATGTTATTTTGCTATGCTTCTTATAATAATATATGTAATTAGAGATTACTGTAAATATCAAAAAATGTTCAAAGAAAAAATAACAGAGAGGTTGGAACAATAGAAAAATTAATACAAAAAATGTGAGAAAAGTTAAATAAAAAACAAAACCCCTGTTAAAGGCACTTCCTCTCCCTAGAATAAAATGGGAGGGGAAAGGAAAAGAAGCAAGCTGCCATCTCAGTACTACTAAAAAAAGAAACTAATCTATTACATCAGCTATAAAACCACACAGGTAGAAGTGCCTTAATGGTCAGCAAGTCCATTCAAGTCTGAATCCTCACTGTGATAGTCCCTTATC